TTCTGTGATTCTGTGATTCTGTGACTCCATCTCAGGAGATGGCTAGAGCATGGTGATGAGCATTGCTGCAGGCACCCACGTGGGGATAACTGCGCCGCGTCTCCGGGCACTGCGTTGCCGCTCTCATGGGCGATGCATTCGGAGCAGGATGGTCTCTGCTTGGTCGCTGCTGCTGAAGTCGCGCATGGATAGCCTGGGTGTTCATTGAGTGTGACCTGTTCATTGGCCTTGTCATCTCCCTGCCTGTGTCCCCGCACTGCCTGCCAGCCTCCCCCTTCTCTTCTGCACCTCGTATTGATCCATTCCCCCGCCCTTGCATGACCTCCGCAGTCTGCTTTTCCCTCGTCCTCCTTGGCACGCATCGTCCCCTTCTCCCCAAGCTAAGCTCGCCTCCCTGCTCCCCTTCCCGGGACTAACTCCAGGACCTGGTGCTGCTTTCGCCCTCCCTGACCCTCCAGCGTCCAGCCCGGCCGGGGCCAGCTCGACAGCAGTGCCTGCATCCCGGTGTCTTGGGGATTGTGTTTGTAATTGCAATCGTCTCGCAAATCCGGTGCCAAGATCCTCTAGCTGAAAGGCTGCCTGGCCCCTTGCAACCAGGCAGGCAGCAGTTCCCTGTAATGGGGCTTCACGCTGAGGGCATGTTTCATGCAGGTGCCTATTGCTGCCTCCTCCTAATGGCAGTTTTGTTTCTGCTAACCGTACGCTCCTCCTTGCTGCGAGTGATGCTGGAGTGCTCGCATCCCTCCGTCTCAAAGTCACGGGCAATGGAAGAGCAGACTCCCAAGTTCCTCAGCTTTAAGCGGCTCCTTGGAAACCCCAGGCTCTCTCTGAGGTGTGCCAGCTGGCGATCCCCCGCGCGCTGGCTGGCTTGCAGATGTCTGCTGCAGGTTTTTCACTCCTCCAAGCGCTGTCCCTCTGTCTCGTGTCCGTGCGGTTTGCTTTAAGGGTGATCCAGTTCTTAGATCCAGTTGTTATGTCGGGTCCTTGGAAAGACTGGCAGATATATGTGCACCATACATCCTCATCCCATATATTTTTCAATATATATGCGTGTGGATATAGCGGTTCTCCTTGCCTATGCAGCAGGGTTTTTCACTCCTCCAAGCGCTGTCCCTCTGTCTCGTGTCCGTGCGGTTTGCTTTAAGGGTGATCCAGTTCTTAGATCCAGTTGTTATGTCGGGTCCTTGGAAAGACTGGCAGATATATGTGCACCATACATCCTCATCCCATATATTTTTCAATATATATGCGTGTGGATATAGCGGTTCTCCTTGCCTATGCAGCAGCTCCAGGGAGCTGTGGTTGCAATGGCACAGTGGGGGTCAGCAGCATCCTTGCTGCTTGGTGCTAACATGAGAGCAAGACCGAGCAAGGTCAGGCTGTGACAGCGTGCCTCCTTCCATGTCCATCCCTGCTGGGCAGAGGGGAGTGCACGAATGGTGGCTCCCCTGGGAAAAGACGAGAGATGTGCAGGAGAACCCATCAGAGCCAGGCATATATAGGAGACCCTTGAGGACAGTGAGGCAACAGGTATTTTTTTTTTTTTAAACCCATCATTTTGCATGTATAAGACGTTAATGGTTACACAAGGCTGTTTTCTAAAGTATCAAAATGTCAAGTTCTGTGCAGATGCCCAGTGGATGAAGGGGACTGTGCAATACCTACACCACAGTACCTGCAAAAGCTCCGTGGTCTGGGAGGTGCTGCTTCTGCATTTCGAATGTTTCATCCCATTCCCCTTCCATTGTCCTTCCTGTTCTTGCTTTTTTTTTTTTCTTTGTAATAATAGCTAAATTAGATGTCTGGTAAAGTGGAGTTGCTCAGAAGCATCTGTGGGATTTAGAAGCACAAGTCCGATTGAAAAGCAGCGGGCCCTGGGCCCTGAGTCCCGCTAGGGAATCGCAAGTGGTTTGATGAGCTAAAACTGGGACAGCAGCGATGCGGCCGCTAGAGAGGCTGGATTTGGCACTGCTCGGGGTTTTTGTGATTTGAAGTAATGAGCAGGGTTCTGCCATACTGGAGACAAAAGCGCTCTTTTATGATTTTTTTTTTTTTCCAGGCGATGTGGCTATAGCAAGGCTAAACAAGACCCAGAAGAAGAAAAGATGCATTTTCATAACGGCCACAGTGAGTAAAGATCGAACGTGTGTATGTGCAGTTTTGGCTCTGTGTGGTAATGAGAAGTACAAGTGAGAGGAGGGTTTTTTCCAGAAACCATTTTGCTGGTAATTCACAGGAGAATTCCGTTTATTCTGTTATTCAGTAAGTTGCCCCTGCTCCAGCCCCCCGGAGACCTGAGCGTTTGCACAGTCCTTACGTGCCCAGCTGTTCCCACCAGTGCCTTGTGAGCGGGTCTTTCCAGCGAGCCGTTTCCTTCTGTTTCTTTGCTGTGTGACTCAAGATGCCATTAATTTTGCTGGGCCAGCATGTAATAGCTGTATATTTTTGGGGTCTGGATGTATCTGTGGAATACACATTGCTCCAGCCCAGCCAGCGGTGAGGACTGAGCCCACTGCTCCTCCCTGCCTCGGATGCCTCTGCAGAGGTGTGAGTTAATGCCCAAAGCTGATTTGGATACACAAACCTCTACGGAGGTGCTGGAAAGTACATCTCGTGGTTGCTGTCAGTCCTTCCGTACATCCAGATCCAGTGTTTGAAAAACCTTCCTTCGTCAAGTGCTGTGGGATGTGGGAACGGGGAGCAGCACGGTGCCTTTTGGGGTGGAAAAGGCAAACGCATCTGGAGCGAAAGTCAGATTTCCATTAGTGCTGTGTAATGAAGGCAGCAGGAACCGAGTCAATTAAGAGCTGTAGTGTAATGTAGCTGTCTTATTAGACCGATGAGCAGTTCTGCGTGCCAGCAGCCTTAATGATTGTCAAAACAAACTTATAATATGGATAATGAAAATACTTTTTCCCCTCTCAAGTCCTGGAGAAAAAGCCCACTATTGATTATATTTATACTGGTACAACCCACAGGCTTTGTACTGCAAATACTGCGTTCATTTACATCCCAGTAACTCCATCTGAAATGATGCGGCCGATTGATTAGCTAATATGTGACTGGCAGGGCATAATTTATTGCAGCTCTCCATCAACCCCCATCCACCCAACTTGCTTTGCCAGTTGTTCCCTTAACATTTTGCTTTTTCTACTTTTCCTCCTGGCGTACCCTTTCCAGACCCAGAAAGGTCTCCTTTTGCACCAGACCCCGGACTAGCCCGTTACACAGGACCCAGAGGGATTTTTGGCTGCACATCGTTCCAGCTGAGCACTGTCGCGTGCTTTTCTAAATATGATGAAGTCGCACGTATGTTGCATATCAACTGAATGTCTTTTCCAAGGATGCTTGCTCTTACAGCATTTCAAAACACAGAGCATCTAAAAAGTGTTATATATACATTTTTCCTGTAGAAATAGGTTTCCCTGCTGCAGTGTTCCCCAGCAAAGCAGAGCACGAGGGTATTGCCCATCGTCTGTCATGCTGTGTCATGCGGTAACGCTCCTAATTTGTGTTTGCAGTTAAGCTGCCGGGAGTGAGGACCTACATCGACCCCCACACCTATGAGGACCCTAATCAAGCTGTCCACGAGTTTGCTAAGGAGATCGAAGCTTCCTGCATAACCATTGAAAGAGTGATTGGAGCTGGTACGGACCACGACCCTTACAGCAGCGTGGAGGGTTGGCTTTCTTAACACAAGGGATTGGGGAAGGGCTGTGAAATCCTTGTACCCTGCGAGTGATGGGGAGCATGCTCCAGCTGAAGTTTGGGACAAACCTGTCATTGTCTGTGGTTTTGAAATTCAGTGGCAGAAAAAGGTCACATTTGGACCAAGCTGAGTTGTTTTGATGGATGCTAAGGGAAATGAAGCACTTAAAATGGTGAAAAGAACATGAAAACTAACCTTTTTCTCCTCCCCCGTTGAGGTCAATCTTGAAACAATAATTAAGAATAGGAAGTAATCTGAGAGAGGAAAAAAATGCACAAACCAAAGTCCCAAATTTCCCTGGTTAAAAGAAGAAATTCCCATTTTCTTTCCATTTAAGCTGTTCATTTGGACTTGTATCCCACCTTAGGAATATTTTTATCCTCAGAAATTGTGTTGTTGGAGGTAATTTACTGTTCACCAGAGAAAGGAAAAAAAAAAACCATTTGGGTTACTTTTTTTGTAAAGGTGGTCATAAAATCAGAAAGGGTTTATAGTCTATAAAAATATATGTTGCTGTGAAAAGCTGACAGCATTCTATCTGTTTAACTTACCAGCACAAGGTTAAGCAGCCAGTGGCTTGTGTTTTACAGCTGTCTATACAGGGCAATGATATAGGGTATGTGTCAGGGCTCTTTCATCTACTAGACAAAAACATGAAATGAGGAAAAAGCCCAGTGGAATATAGAGCATAGCTCTTTAGATATAGGAAAATTACATTTTTCTTCCTAGCTTTCTTGTGCTTATGAATTATTTGGCTGGGCTGCGTGGTCAGCTCAGTAGATGGATGCGTGCCGTGCATTCCTCCGGCACGCTGTGATCCCGTTCTTTCTGGTTTTCCTCTGAAGGTGAATTTGGGGAAGTCTGCAGCGGGCGACTGAAGCTGCAGGGAAAACGCGAGTTTCCTGTGGCTATCAAAACCCTGAAGGTGGGCTACACAGAGAAGCAGAGGCGAGATTTCCTGGGAGAAGCAAGCATCATGGGGCAGTTCGACCACCCCAACATCATCCACCTGGAAGGTGTCGTCACAAAAAGTAGGTGCAAGTTGCTGTGGGTCTGTCCTTGAACTCTGACTGATGGGAGAGGTGGTTAGGGGAAAAAAACTCGGGTAGCTTGCATTTTGACTGCATCTTTCATCATTTCCCAAAAAACAGCAAACTGCCTTTGCCCAAAATTTTGCACTTTGTAGATCCAGCTGGGAACAGCTTCCCCAACGCTGCAAAAGGGGGTTTGTACCCAAGAGATTTTGGCGTTCTTCCAGCTAGAATGGGTAGATCATGGCTCAAATGATAAAAAAAAGCTAACTCACGCAGGATGTGAACAAGGACAGAAGTTAGCTCAAGTTTTGTTTTCCAGAAGCAGGGAAGAACGAGAGTGTAGCTGAAGGGGACAGGGCTGTATAAAAACTACAGTCAAAGCAAGCTCCCTCTGGGATCTGCTAGTGATGCTGGTGGGAATAGTTGCCCCTGATGCTGGCAGATAGATTATGAGAGGGGCGAGGGCTGGGGAAAATGTAAAAAAAACATTACGGAGGTGTGACTGCTCAGTTAGCAAAATAACCTTCCACAGCTTTCCCAGCCCAGTTCTTCTCCCAGTTCCTGTATGCTCTGAAGACGAGGGAAGAGGAGGGGACGGCACAGCCCAGTGTGCCCAGTCCAAGCCTCTCCGGCTGTTGGGGCTGTGCTGAGGCTGTGGGAAAGGTGCAGAGATGTTGTTGCTCTTCCATTTTAAAGCCTTGGAGGATCTACAGTATTTGCATCGAGGATTTTTTGTTGAAAACAACAAGTCCTTTGTTTTCAGATGTATGTTAAGTGTTTTGGGAAGTTTTTGCTAGCTGGAGAAGCACCAGCCTCCCAAGTGTGAATGACTATCTCCCCTCTTGTCTTCATGATCGGTGACATCAGAGCTTAGCTCCTGGCACTCAGATGCCAGCATCTGGGGCCATGTGGCTCTGTTAGTACCATTTGGTATTCATCAGAGGCAGCGTCTCCAAAATTAGTTATTTTTCAGAGCTGTAATAGAGAAGTTGCAGAGACACCAGCCATTTGTCCTGTTTGTTTCCTTATAACCTACAGAAAATCAATGCTGGTTTGCAACCAAGAGCCTTTTCTTGCATTTTTCCTTGAAACTGCATTTCCTAAAACTTCTAAAAAAAAAAAAAAAAAAAAAGTCATTTCTCCCAATAATTGAATAAACATCAAACTTCCTTGGGGTCACCTTGTATAGCCCTTAATATATGAAAGCCTCACCATGTCCATCCGCCCTGGACAGAAAGCTCCCGTTTCCAGCCCTGCAGGGATGTGGGATGTTGGGCAGGAGGTGAGCGATGTTTGTACATCCATAAAAGCTGCTGCTGACACCGTCTTGAGTCTTGTGGGCTGCCAGGGCCTCCGGGGATGAGGGTGAATCCCACTTTTGGAGAGGATCTGGCTCCCTAGCAAGCTTCTTCCTGAAGTGGCCATCTGGTCCAAAGGCAGTGGAACCACAGGAGGCTTTGCTTCTGAATTGGACTGGGAGTGAGTGGCGTTGGGATGCAGGGGGTACGTGCACCCTGAGCTCCTCATTAGCTCAGTAAATGCTTGTTTACTACACTCAGAATTTTTTCCATTAGGCATCTGGAGCATCTTCTCAGCTTTTTTCTTTTCTTATAAATGGACCGAAACAACCTGGATGAATCCCAAACTACGCTGCTGTCTCCATCTATTGTTTACCTTCTCTTTCCCGTCAGTGTTTTAGTTGTTAGCGTATCATAGATCCACATCTTTAGGGTAAATCGTCTTCACGGCATCGTGATTTACTTTGGAAGTAAATTAAGTTCAATTGAATTAGGCCATTTTTAATTCTCAACGAGAATACCCGCGCAGGGGCTTCATACCATTTAACTAATCTACTTCAAACGCACACCTTAGTTAATTTGGATTAATTGTCTTCATTGTCCCCATGCAGACAAGCCTTTAGCTATTCCTGCTTTCCAAAGGTAGTGTCAGTCCTCTTTCCATTCATATCCCCGTGTCCACATTGCATTAGCACATCGGTGTGAATGACATCCACGCACATTTACGGCCCCGTGACGCCGGCGGCAGGGAGCCCTGCTGACTCGGAGAATCAGCCCAGCACTTGAGAAGGGCCAATGTTATTTTACGTTGTTGAAAGTTACTCTATTTGTGTTTCTATTTCCACGCTCCTGGATATGAGGCTAATTTATTCCACAATTCCTGTCAACCTGCAGCAGGCAGATGATGAAACATAGGTGCCAGAAATCTTCTTTTCCGCACTCAGGTGGCAGCCAAAGGCAGGAATCTGAGGGAGGTCCCCAAGGGTGGTGGCATAGCAAAACCCCAGTCTTGCTGCAATGGTGCCTTGAATTGTCAGACATATGGGACCCTATGCTACAGTCATTTAAAACCAAAAAATGTAAAAAAATGAAGGGGTATACCTGGGATTGTCCTTCCTTGCATAGCCACCGATGTGCTCACCAGCCTCTAGCAACATCACCCAAGATCTCTCTTCCCTCCTGCGCGCAGCCCGTGTTGTGTGTAGACAGAAGGCTGTGGTCCTTGCAGATGGGGTTTGTGATGTTGTTTGGGATTCAGCGATATTGTCCTTGGACTCATGGTGCATTTCTCGTCGTGAAAGTGTGACTTTAGGCCAGCTCTGAGCTCAGGCAGTGGCTGTGATGGTAACTTCAGCACAGGTCCCTCACGCTGCAAGGGTGGTGTCTGCACAACGGCAAGAGTTTTGATGGACAAGTTTACAATGATCTTTATTCTGTAGATAATTAAGCAGTAAATTAGGCAAATAGGTAAGGGGAAAGTGGGAAGATTGAGATCAGTCTAAATGGCAGAACATCCGCTCATTTTTCGGAGCATTTACCTTCACTTGCATGTTGTGACACGCAGCAGCTCTCGTTGATCATTTCTACCAAAGACATTTATAATGCGCTTTATAAATAATTGACAGCTCCTCTTTTGTCTGTGCTTTATGCTAGCTAATGGAAATTGATTTAAATAAAAAATAATTTACATGTTCTTATAAGATTTCATTGAATTTACAAGGGCTGGAGCACGCCACATTAATTATTGGTATGTCATTGTGGCAAGCTAGCGAGAAATTAGATATAAAAACTGAGCAAAAACTATATATATAATTACCATTAAAGTGACTCGGGCATGAAAATTAATCAAATGGATTTGGAAGAACATTTTTATTCCTGTCAACAATAGGAGGCCAGGTCTTTTGTTAAGAACTTTTATTTTGATTTCCACTCGCACTCACTCCGTACTTAAATTGCTTTTGTTCTGCAGCACAAATATTCCTTTTGTTACTCCCAGGTGTGTTTACAAGCGTAGTCACATAGGATTACATGAATTACAAGGGATGTAATCCCATCCTTTCCTAGTCTTGGTTTTGGTCAAGCTCAGATAGATACTTCAGGTCATCGTGGCTGGTCTTCCTGGGCTCCTGTTGTTCCTTCGGGATGCTGAAGCTCTAGGAAGAGGCTGTGTGTAGGTTGCCTGGGTTCAGCTCACAACCTATTCCTCAAATATCATCTAAACACCAGGGCTTGGTACCCCACCCATAATAACTGGGTTACTTTTGATCCCCTCCTCCTCGATTCCCCTATTTCTGCATACATTTTGGCAAAAACTGTCGTCCCGCGGGGACAGCAGTGTCTGGGTGTAGATTTACTGTTGCACAGCTGTATGTTCACATTCAGGCACGTTCTGAAATGACTTCATTGTTCTTCATGGTTTTTACACGAATTGCTGCTAACAAACTGGTGCACTTTTTTTTTTCCCAGGCAAACCAGTGATGATAGTAACTGAATACATGGAGAACGGTTCTCTGGATACGTTTTTGAAGGTAATAACTTTAAAGAGGGCCACACGCACACTTTTTCCAGGGGCACCTTGGTTGATGTTTGGATTCTTTGCAATGGTCAGTAGCCATGAAAATGTTTGCTGGGTGCTAGACCAGCCATTGGTGCTGTCTGGAGGCAGCAGTAGCTCAGTTGTCTATTTGATCTGTATTTATACAGCATCATGAAGGACCTGGTTTGTGCATTGATACAAACAGATAAGAATAAATTGGGGAATATTATGTTTATTTTAGAAGGTGCTCTGCTGCACGGAAATGGTTCATTTATCGAAAAACTTTTTCAAGAGCACATCCACACTGCACCATGGCAAACCCCAGACTTGCCAGAGCTTTTCATGGAACATAAGAGCTAGAGAAGGGAGGATAGAGTAAGTGGTTAGAAATGCAGTGGTGGAGTAATGTGGGAGGAGCCCTTACCTGCAAATATTCATGCATGGACCTCTGCAGGTAGGATTTACATACCACTTGGTGTTGTTCAGTTGGCCAACTTGGAGACAGCCCACCCTGGCGCTTTTATACACATCACTACACGTGTTCATTCCCACTCACAATCTCTTCATCAGTCACCGGTGGAAATAGCTCGCTCCTTGATCTCCAGTTAAAAGAACTACATTTCCTTAGCTTTGTCTCTAGAGATCCTAATCCAAACAGGGAAACTTTGAAAAGCTTTGTGGTCAGAGCATGAGAGAAATGAATTATTAATTTCCCTGTTTTTCTTCCCCGGAGACTTGCCTTTGCATTTTTATTCATGCACACGCCACGCTGAGGGTGCAGAGACTCTCGGCTGATCAAATGTCTCCTTCCCTTTGCAGAAGAATGATGGGCAGTTCACGGTCATCCAGCTGGTCGGGATGCTGCGAGGCATCGCGTCGGGAATGAAGTACCTGTCTGACATGGGTTACGTACACAGAGATCTCGCCGCCAGAAATATCCTCATCAACAGCAACTTAGTCTGCAAGGTGTCTGACTTTGGCCTCTCCAGAGTCCTAGAAGATGACCCCGAAGCTGCGTACACAACCAGGGTGAGTTCTGAGCATACCGAACTGATGGAGCTCAAGAAAAATGTATTCCCTGGCACGTTTTGGCATTCGGGCTCTTCATCAAAGAGGTTTCTGCAAATCCAGAGCCTCTAACTGTGAGCGAGGGTTTGGTGATGTTACCAGTTAATCAGTATCAGATGGATTTTGCAAATGCCTCTCGTTGGGTAGTGAGGATGGCCAAATAAGGCAAAACTTAAACTAATAACTTATAAGTTCATGTTGGGCACCAGGTCAAATAGCAAACTTTGCAAAGGCGCCGCGCTCCCAGCTGTATCCTGTCCTCTTCGGTGCGTACCGAAGGAAGGAAAGAGGAAGAGCAAGTGCTTTGCTTAGGCACCCACACAGAGATGTAAACCATGGTCTTCTGGACAGTTTGACCCTTTTAAAACATCGGCAAGCGTCTAACGCCTGTTGCAAATGACGCACATTGCCCTCAACGTTACCCTGCTGAGGGTAATTTCCCCCAGCTTGAGAAAAGGCTGCTCCAGCCTCTTTCCATCCATCATCCATCCTTCCAGGGCATCAGCCCACCCATCCCAGTGCGAGTCCCCACGGTCCCAGTGCTGCGGAGAGTGGGTGGACAGCACGGGCATGGATAGAACCCCCACTAGCCATGGCAGCGATCGGCACGCCTGGACATTGCCCATTAATGTGTTTTTCCCAGGGTATTGTTTTGCGGGTGATGAGAGCTCTCTGGGTCGCATTCCCGGTTCCCCGCGGAGATTTTGCAATCTGGGAAAGGCCGTTCAGCTCTTGGCAGCCACTCAGGGCCAGCCCTGCCGCGGCTGCAGCGTGCTGCCTGCGCTAATTGGCACTGCTGAGGAGCTGGCCCCTCGCTTACGGCGGGCGCTGATAAGCCTGTGAATAAATAATTATTGGAAGAAGGGACTTTTTAAAATTTGCTTTGAAAATGTGTTCCAAATTCTCTCTTTTTCCAATAACAAACACCGTTGGGGGGCATTCAGGGAGACTTTCCAATATTTAGCTCAACACTGAAAGGAAAGGACTTCACAGTGAAATATATTTTGATATAAATCAGGGGAGACAACTCTTTAAACCCAATGAGAAACGCATTTCTTAATCCCAACTCTCCTTTCCCTCCCCTTTTCCTTCTCCGAGCTGGTCTGAAGTTTGATTTCTAAAATGGTAGAAAGGGGAAAAGGAAATAGCAAAGCACATTTGACAGCTGTGGCATCATTGTCGGTCCCACGGCAGAGGCCAAACAGTCTGGTCTTTGCACACACAGATTTCTGTGCCCGCTACGCAGATCTCTCTGCAGGATGAAGACCACATTAAAGAAAAAAAAAAAAAAAGCATTACTTCTGCAGCAATTTGCATGAAGCCCTCGTTAGATCAAAGTCTTCCTCGGCTTCAGAGCTGCCTGTTCCTCCCCTGCTTGCTCTCAGAGACGGAGGAACTGTATTCCCCGACCAAGCCGTGCAACATAATTGAGATGTTGATCCTATACATGTCCCGGCACTCAAACAGCATTCAAACAACAAACCTTCAGGACAGCCAATTAGTAGGCAGCCTACAAATGCTTATGGGCTGAGATAATGCGGAAAGGGGCCTCATGCTGTCAAACAGATTTACTTTAAAATTCGATGTCTCTTTCCAGAGAGAAAATAACATCCCTTGGTGCCCTAAGAAGTGCTGTTTCGTCCTTTTTTTGCATGTTTCCTGCCCTCTGAAATCTGTTTTTTGGTGGGTTGTTTTTTTTTTTTTCATTTATTTTCATTCTAGGGAGGGAAGATCCCCATCCGATGGACGGCACCCGAGGCAATCGCCTTCCGCAAATTCACGTCAGCCAGCGACGTTTGGAGCTACGGCATCGTGATGTGGGAGGTGATGTCCTACGGCGAGAGACCTTACTGGGAAATGACAAACCAAGATGTAAGCACGTGCGAGCGCTGCCGCGTGATGGGATTTTGAGGGCTCAGCATTCATTCTGCAATCAGAGAAGCAGGATGGGGACAAGAGGAGGAGAGCCGCTGTAAAAGTGGCTTTGCTCCCCCATGGTAGATTAAACCAATCCTCCTGTTTGATGCTCGTTTTTTGCAGCAGCAGCCCAGAACAGGCTGTGTGCAGAGGAAAATGTGTCTGCCCGCACAGAGGTGAGCCTGCTTCCCCCAGCAGACCGCTGGAGCTTCACTAATGCTGTTAGAGCTGGAGCCTGGCCCTCCTTTGCTCCATGACAAAGGTCTGCCAGGGGATGGATCCTGATAACCGGCAGCGTTGCAGTTGTGTGTTCAAACCCCTGCTGCCACCTAAAGCAGAAACTCAAGAGAGTCATGGAAAGGGCTTTGTTTCGCTGCACAAAAGCCGGGTGATTTGATCTAGTGACAGCGGTCCAGAGAGCTGCATCTTGGCTGCCCTTGCATCGCTGATCTCAAGAGCACAGTTTTGCTCCTGTTGAGAACATCGTTTAAGCCTGTGCTGACACATGCTCTCATGGTTCAATTGTACAGCACCCTTTGAGCTGTGTCCCCTTGCTCCTGTGGTTCCTGTGGCCCCTCAAGCCTCTGACCGTAAAGCCACCCTCTGAAGCATCTCCAAACAGGGAGGTGCCTGGGGACACTGTCCCTCTCCTTCAAGACATCTTCCAGTAGGATCTTTTGATCCCACTGCAGGGCTGCCTCCTACCCTGAGCTCACCATAAACATCAGTCCTTGTCCAAGGCTGACGGGTCCCTGCTCCTCCATGGGCTTCCTCTGGTCCCCAGCACACCTGATGTTTCATCCTCATCTCTTTCTTGAGCAGCATCCCCATCCCTTTGACTTTCTGCCATTCCACCAGCAGCAAGCGCTCTGGCTGAGCCTTCTGTTTCTTCTGTGTTTTGTCTGTGGGCCGTTGCCATCAGAGGATGTGAATACCTGTCACGCCGAGCTGCTGCCTCATCTCGCTTCAAGTGCAGGCGCGGAAAGGAGCGGTACCTTTGAGACAGTCACGCCGCGCTTCTTGCCAGGGAGATGAGCGCGTTGTTTGGCATGAATGCCCCGCCGCTCCTGCGCTGCTGAGGCTGTCGTGTTTGCAGGGAGCTGGGTAATGCAGCATGGACCTACACAGGGATTTATCTCAATCAAATAGAGACACATTCATCCATAGCCTGTGCAGAGAACGCCGGCTATTGAGCACTGCGACTGTCTTCAATGCTGACACACCGGTGGAGCACGGTGGTGTTCAGTCAGTGCCAGGCTAAGGGGAGTCCCTTGTCTGGATTGTAATGCTAGAAACATCCATGCTTCGCAGAACTGTTCCAAAAAACCCAAATGCCTCTGTGCACCCTGGGGTGTGGGGTGAATTTCCCACTGACCTGAGAAGAAGCGGATGGGGGACTGGTTGCTTTAGCAGCAGAAAGCAGAGGGTTTATGGGCAGTGGTTCCTGCTCGGGCTTTGCTTGGGTTACCTCCATAATGTGTGCAGGTGGATGGAGGTAGCCTGGGAAACTTAGTGCTGGGGCAGAGAAATGTTTCTCGTGCGATTTACGCCTTCCTCCTCCGTGTTCTGAAGGGACCTCCTCTACTGTCTTCCTCTCCTTGTGTTGGCAGAAGAACCAGCGGTGTTAGATACAGCGTTGGCTTTCGTGCGGGGGACCAGGGGGCTCTGCTCACATGAATTTTGGACTCGGTTGCGCGAGGGTTTCTTGTTGCATGGTTTGTAATTAAAGCATGTTGTTTGCAGTCACAGTCGGTGATGAGCAAACGGTTCTCCCCGTGTTACAGCCGGGTTGCTCTGAAGTGTCAGTGCCATAGGGCAGGCAGGGTTGCAACTGCCAAGGCTACAAACCACGTTTTAAAGTCCTGCTGGTCTCTGGGTGACCTTCTGAAAATATGCTTTGACTTGGCCACAAGATAAGGCTTTGATGCAGCAATTGTTGAGAGGAATTTTGTGGCCTGTGTTACAGAGGTTGGTGTAAACTAAATGATCGCAGTGGTTGCTTTTTAGGCTTCAGGCTGGTGGTTTTGTGAAAATACGGAGCTAAAAGTGTTTGCTGGAATAGACTATCCCAGGCTGTCCTCTCCCAGGCATCCCCAGTTCAGTCATCCTGATCCATTAGTGAGTAGTGCTTGTCCAGAAGAGGAAAAGAGACAAAAATGCCTCATTTTAGGTGCAAATTTTATCTCTGCAAGTCTTAGAAAGCAGTACACATCAACAAACAGAACAGCAAATAGGCCACTTTATTATTTTCTAGGTATTGTGGTAGCTACAAGTGACTTATCTTTGTCGTCTCTTTCTTTTGCTCCTATTATTGCCAGACCCCCAAGGCACCTTCAGATGCACAAGTGTATTTCAGTGTCCCAGCTCCTCGCAGTATTTTGATCCCATTTACATTGCATCGCCAGAACGAACGACATCCTGTAAATTGAGTTAACGCTATTGATTGTGATGTGACTGCCAGGAATACCGAGCACGCGTAACCCCATTGCAGATGTAGTTCAGATACTCTGAGCTGGTGCCAGATGGTCTGCTCCCCGTCTTGCTACTATTTTCTTTCTGCTACAGCTGGAGGATGATCCGTTATTGTTATAAAGACAGACACGGGCACAGCAAATAACGTTCTCGTGGCTGTGCCACACTGGGGCTTTTTTTTTATAGAGCCGCTGAAATTTGGGGTCAGGGACCAGCTGAAAAGGCTGATGTGAAGAATAGACAATGCAGATAGCATCGTGTGATGGGGCTGGTTTGGGAGCCTGCCAGCAAAAGCCAGGCTGGAGGAGAGGTGGCTTTGCAGGCACAGGTTGGGTGGAGAGCAGTGCAACTACTCCACCGACAGATGAAATCTTGGGTGGGCACAAAAGGACCGCAGGTCTCGTGGGCTAGATTTTCGGACATGCTCAATACCCTTGAAGAAGATTACCAAGCCTCACTGAATTTCTTCTCTGCTACCGACTTCCTTAGGGGATTTGAGGTTCCCCCTATGACCGTGCAGCCAGCCTGGCTCATTCCTGGGACTCCTCCGCTTGGCACGAAGCCCTGCGGTGGAGGATGATTTGAAAGCGATCCGTGCAGTGCTGAATTTCCAATCCATCTTGAAATGCAATGCCAGCCTGACACGGCTCTTCCTGTACCGTGTATGGGGATTAAAGATCAAGAAAACAACTTCCATGCTAACCACAGAGCTTTCTTTTCAAACACAGGATGCTCTCAAATCGTCAGTGAGACGGTGCCTAGCGTGAATGGCATCTGAGGCAGTCTTTGGAGTCCCGCAGTGAAGCTCTGCGGTTTTCCACACAGCAATAGCTGCTTCCAGCTCCTTTTGGTCAACCAGTCTTGGGAGTAGAGGGTGTGAAGATGGGCTGCCAGGACTCTCTTAGTACGGTCACAGGGCTTTGTAGCTTGAAACAAGACCTGCATTCTCCTGATGATTGCTCAGGGTTCAAAGTGGGAACTGCTGGGCTTGGACCCCTGCTGTAAATCTGCCCCAGACTGGGGAAAACAAGTTGCTTTCTTCAATTCTGCTCTCATGTATTCCTTTCTGCCTTTCAGGAGGGCAGGCAACAGATGTGCATGCCGCTTGGTTTAGATACAGAACCATAGATGGTTTGTATTTGAAATCAGTGCAACAACTCTCCCCTGGTTTTAATTTACATACTGTCGGGCTGACATTTTAAAATCCTGGCAGAAATGCGGCCACGCTAAGAAATGACTAGACCCAGACAGTATTGAATGATATATGAGATGGTTGTTCTGCCTCCGCCTTGGATCCATCCATCAATTAGTATTCAAAGTCTCTTTTGAAATACAGTCAGACTTTTATTACTGCAATACAAATTTGTGGTCTAGCACATGCCTCCTCATTTCAGAAGAAGCCAGCATCTGAATAAACAAAATTGCTGTGCTCCAAGAAGATGCCAGGGAGCCCCGTAGGCTGCTGTTCGTGGAGTTAGGGCAGGCTCCAGGAGCTGCAGACCTCAGCTGAGCTTTGAACAAGTGCAACCTGAGATCTGCCCCCCTGCTTGCAGCGGTGCCTGGGCTTTCTAGATTTATTTTTCTGACCAAAAATTTAAGTTATTCATCCCATAGGAAATCTGAAAGATAGTGGTGTGGACTGGGTTCGGCTCTTGTATGCAGGCTTGGGGAGCAGTGGAACTGTACGTGAGCATATTGCTGGCCCCCGAGTTCTCTGTTTAAATCAATTTGCATTTGGGAAAAAGGCAAGAGGAGGCAAAGCAAACCATCAGCCTTGTGTTTTGCCACCTGTAGGTGATTAAAGCCGTGGAGGAAGGCTATCGCCTGCCGAGCCCCATGGACTGCCCTGCTGCTCTCTACCAGCTCATGCTCGACTGCTGGCAGAAGGACCGCAACAGCAGGCCCAAGTTTGACGAAATTGTCAGCATGCTGGACAAGCTCATCCGGAACCCAAGCAGCTTGAAGACGTTGGTGAATGCATCGAGCAGGTACAAACTCATTTCTCAGAGCAAGATTCTTGTCTGAATACCCGCCCTTGGGGTTGAATTGCCACTTATTATTCAGCCTGCGCATGCTCCGGTGGGTGTTTGTGTTGGCTTTGCATGGTGAGCTTTTGGTAGCTGGGGGAGCTACAGAAGCGGCTTCTGTGAGAAGATGCCAGGAGCTTCCCCTTTGTCGGGTAGAGCCAATGTCAGCCGGCTCCAAGATGGACCTGCCGCTGGCCAAGCCTGAGCCCAGCAGCGATGGTGGGGGTGCCTCTGGGATAACATATTTAAGAAGGGGGGAAAAAGCCTGTGCAATTGCTGCCAGAGAGAGGAGCAAGAACATGTGGGAGAAGCAGCTCTGCAGACACCAAAGTCAGTGCAGAAGGAGGGGAGGAGGTGCTCCAGGCGCCGGAGCAGAGATTCCCCTGCAGCCCACGGTGCGGACCCTGGTGAGGCAGCTGTGCCCTGCAGCTGTGGAGGTAACGGTGGGGCAAGTCTGCTTTGCCCGTGATGGTAGTTGGTGACTGATCCCTCCCTGTCCTTATCTTGACCCACGAGCCTTTCGTTATATTTATATTGAGGAGGGGAGTGATAGAGCAGCTGTGGTGGCCCCTGGTGTCCAGCCAGGGTCAACCCACCACAGTGCTCCTCCAGTTTCGTTATGTCCAGAGGCGTTTTCCCAAATCAACTTTTTCTGTTTCAGTTGGTGGGCAGGTGAGCAGTTCAGTTACTCTATAAAAGCAGTGCTGCTACCACAAAGAAAATTCCTATGGCCTGTCTTTCAGAAGCGGGAGTTTCAGCAGTATTTCCAGGTGCATGATAAAACTACCTGCGCTCTGCCCCAAGGTTAGAGAGGGCGAGACTTGAGTGCATGAAGTAGATAATAAACACTACTCAAATTATCTGTTGACTTTATCTGGGTAATACAAACCAAGGGCGTCTCTTGGGGAAACTCTTAGGATGCTCCAAGCTCACAGATGGCCAAGTGCATTCTCTCGCAACTATTCCCAGGTGCGTTAGCCGCCACCTCCAGTTCTGGCAGTCTCAGTAATCGCAAGGAGATCTCTGTGGCTCCCAAAGAGTTGTACACAAACCATTTGCTAAAACCACACTAAGCGAAAAGAGCAGCCGTTGTGCAGTTAGACGTGAATCTCAGTGGCGACACAGCTATGAATAAGGTAAATACAGACAACAAATAAAGTTGCGCTTGGGGAAAGAGAGATTAATTTTTTTTAGTGAGTTTTAGTGTTGGGGTCTCCACCATACTAGAGTTTTGGAGAGGTTTTTTTATTTTTTCACTGTAAGCACACAAGTGTTCTATTTCAAAGCCTCTGTGCTGCTAATCACTCGGTCCCTCGCAAGGTCATGAAGGAGTGATGGATGTAAGTCATCGCTGCTTCGCTGATGGCAGTGGAGTTCCCTGATTAACGCTGGAGCAAGCCCTTCAGAAAAGCTTGTTCTCAGAGGAGACACTCTTACACCAAACTGGTATGCCAGAAAAGAGAAAAACAGGCAGCAAACCGTTTCCTTGAGCTGCTAAGCACTGTGCTGATGTTTTATTCCATGAACAGGTCCACGCAATTCCAAACCTCCCCTTTTCAAAGCTGCTGTGGGTATCCTCGTGTGGATGGAGCACGTGAACAGCCAGGCTTTGGGGCTGTGTTTCTAGAACCATAGATTGCTGTGCCCAGGCCATAGTTAATTCCAGATGAATCATAATTTCAACATAAAGCAGCTGCAGAGGATTTTTTTTATATATGTAATGTATTCTTTATGGAAATTCTCATTAATGCAAATCAGGGAGGCAGTCACTCTCTACATTACAGCGTGTGCATATCAGTAGGTACCTCCTGACATTAGTGATGAAAATCCACTTCTCATTATGATTACTTAGGAGTTTGGAATTCCTCATGTGTATAAAATGTTATGGGAAGCCATTATGCTCTTGGTAGTGCAAGTATTCACATTTTATTGGACCCTTCAGCATTGCTGTTAAATAAACAAATAATACTAATGTGCTCGTAAAATATACGAAGATTCCTGAAGTGCTATAATAATGTAATATCCCCACTCTCCTTCCAGTTGAAAGTCTTTTAAGTGTAATTCTCACTGTCAGAGGCTGATCCAGCAAACTTTTTTTTTTTTTTTAACCTGTGGGTAATAATCTTTATGCAAGGCTTATGTTAGCTGTACGTCCTGATTTACAAAGCAGGGGAGAAATGTGGCTTCTCTCCCGGCTGACCTTGGACAAGCCCCGGGTGCTCTCTGCACATCGTGGGTCTGTACGTGGCACGGGTCGCTCGCACCCGGTACCGTGTCGGTGTTTCTGCTGCGGTGAAGGGTTATTATTTGCCTGAATTGCTGCTTCCGTGCATGGCATAGCCGAGCAGGGAGCAATTGCCGCGGGGAGGTTTTTGAGCCAGGGTGCAGGAGCAGGAGTCGCGTTGGTTGGCGCGTTGCTGCTCTCTGCAGGGATCACCGGACGCTGCCCGCATCCAAAATCCCGACTGGACTTTGCGGGAGCAGCTCCTGAAGTGTTAACAGCAGCCTGCCATTGACAGGCCCTGCTGGGAAATGTAATTTGGGTTTCGGCTGCCAGGCTCTGGGCTGTCCTAAGTTAATTATGAGCTTTAAAGGGAGAGCAGGAAAACAGAGCAGGAGGAGGGAAACTGCAGACCTGGAAATACGAGTGTGTGGGGCAGCCTGGTACAAGAAGAGCCTGCTTGTGGGCGAGGGGCAGCAGGGATGGACACTAGCCCTCTCCTCTTCTTTCTGCTTGTAGTGCAGACCAGAAATGACAGTAACTAACTCCAAAGTGGGCACACTTCTCTGGGCGAAGTGTGTTTAATACGTGGCGTATCAAGCCTGCTGGGAGGATTTGGGCTGCAGCAATCACTGAAAACATGATGAAGAGCCAAGCAACTGCTTCACGTTGGGTTCATCTTGATACTGACTGTTTGCCTTCTCTTTGTTTTGCTTTTGTCTTCAGAGTATCAAACCTGTTGGTAGAGCACAATCCAGTGGGGAGCGGTGCCTACAGGTCGGTGGCTGAGTGGCTGGAAGCCATCAAAATGGGCCGGTACACGGAGATCTTCATGGAGAATGGCTACAGTTCGATGGATGCTGTGGCTCAGGTGACCCTAGAGTGAGTAGTGTCCAGATTGTTTTCACCTCATCTGTTGGAATGGCAGGGGTGGGGAAGACAAACATATTCAAAAATACGTAAGGGAGAGGCTGCAGAAAGGGAAACCATCACCCTTTGTCTGCAGTCAGCAGTTTCTCTTGTAGCATCTGCACTGATGAGAACAAGTGCAGGCAACGCTAACGCTTACGGTCACTGCATGGGCAGCCAGTGCTCCGGCTCCTTTGCTCACAGAAGTTAATGCTTGAGTTTGAATAATTGACAACCCATCCTCTCGACATAATAGTAGTTGATTACTTGGGGTTAAATTAAAAACCCCTCACCCTACTAGTAAATGTGTAGGAGCTCGAGTCCCCACTGAGTTATACTGGCTTTACACCAGATTAGCTGGTTTCAGAGTTGATTTGGATGTAGCCAGGTGGACAGCCAGGCCCAGTAAAGCATGGAGATGGTGTTCAGCATGAGCAGAAACAAGCGTAGATACAGCCGGTGCCAACAGAAGAGCATCACCAGACCCAGAGCTCCAGGCTCCCTGGCCAAGATTCTTCCTTCTGAACGTACCCTTGGTTTTGGCACATGGGTGTGACTGCAGTGGGGTGACAGCACTAAAACAACTTGGGGCTGCTGGTTTGTTATACTCCACCTTTAATTGCCTGTCTTCTTGTGTAGTGACGTCTGTGCTTTCCTGCTGACTTGAGCTTGCCCCAGAGCCTGCCTGTCCAGCTGGGTCAGCTTGAGCTTAGCTTACTGCAGGCTTGAGGCACAATGGGAAGGGTTAAGCTCCATGCTGCTTTGGAGGAGGTCCTGGCTCCTCCGACCATATGCAGATGGCCAGCGCACATACAGAATTGGTGCCAAGGATTAGGAATAAAACAAGAAAAATTCCCCACACCCTACAGGACCACAGCATTTCTCCTGTCTGCCCCAGGGCTTGCTGTACAGGGTAGGAGGTCTTTTGCACGTTGATGCAGGTTGGTGACACCCACATTGAGCTCAACTTCGCCTTAGTGGGACAAGCCATGCATGGAAGGAGAGCAAGAGCGTCTCTACTCTCATTCAGATTTTATTTTCTCCACCCGTATCGCCAATGGCCCCTTACAACTGGCCTTATCCAGCCTAACTTCAGTCACTCCCATGAAACCCCCAAGGCAGGGATGAAGTCCTCCCTAGTGACTGTCCAGGGAGCCAGGGTGCATGGATTTCCACCTAGATCCTTTTTCGCGTGCCTGAGACATGGTTTCTCAGCCTAGTCCTGCAATTATTTGCCATGTTACTTTGGCGTTTGAAGACTCCATGGTTCCTTACCTACTCATCTTATATGGCCCAGAAACACCGGGCTTGGGGGCTTCGTGGTTTCTCAGCCTAGTCCTGCAATTATTTGCCATGTTACTTTGGCGTTTGAAGACTCCATGGTTCCTACTCATCTGATATGGCCCAGAAACACCGGGCTTCGGGGCTTCGTTTAGACTAGTGATCTACAAATGCTGGCCAAGGAAGAGGTCCATCCCCAGGGTGGTCAGAGTCCATACAGCGGGAAGATACAGTCAGAGGGTGAGTGGGAAGAGGAGGGATAGGATGAGGCAGTAACTTAAGAGAATTGGAAAACATTGGAGTGTTCCCCTCTCCTGTACCACCTCAATCTTATCATCAGAGCAAGTCCTGGTAGAAAATGCAGATTATCTATAACTTAAGTATTCCTTGGGATGCCCATTTATAATTAATAAATAATAGAAGAAACTATTACAACTGTGCTGAATACAACCTTTTAGTGAGTGTAACATTTCAGATTGTGAAATTATCTCCTTAATTTGACTAAAAAATTTAAACACTTCTTTATATTTATTTTTTGGTATTACAGAAATTTCAAAAGTATCCCCCAAAATATTTTCAGGCTATCCAGAAGGTACTTCAAAATGTTTTTTCTGATTGGCAGTGAACCAAGAAATCCATTATCTGTATGGTTCTAGCCAGAAAGGCAAGTTGGTTTAAAACTCTTTAAATAAGATGATAGCTGCCAGAGATGCTCTGATCCTCCACCAGGTCCCAGTATGTTCTCTATGGCGCAGGTGTCGCCCTGCTCTGGTCCTTTACTGTCCCCAGTGGAGACAACATGTCTGAGCTGCTCAGCTTCAGCTTTCCTCCAGCCTTTTACAGCAGCGGAGGAGCTGATGCCTGGGGGCCTCAGGAGCCTCTGGAGGGGGGAGTGGGGCTGGAGCTGAAAGGAGCCGTTTCATGGATCCCTCTTACACTGCAGTTGAAACTGAAAAAAGGCAAGTTGAAAAGCTCCAACCTCACATCTTAGGCAAGGGCTGCATGAAGCAGAAAACAAGATTGTCTATGAATGCATAGCCTGCAGGTGGCTGGACAGGCTTTGTTCTGGATATTTCGATGCTAGGCTTCTAAAGAGAGGCACCATTGCCCCCCTGCATAGTGTTCAGCCTGGGTTAGCTCATCTTCCCAAGGCTGAGCACAAACCCCGAGACCGTTGGCATGGCTGTCTCCAGCTCACCTGATACTGATTTCACTCTTAAAATGTGCTGGGAGGCTCTTGTAGACCTTTTTTTTGGTGCAGCGGTGGCTTAGCAAGAAGGCTTGGCCCTGCTCAGGTCTATTTTGGGGAAAAATCAAGACTTCTCTCAACCCATCAAGACAAAAGACCAGATTCTCGGCTGTTAAAAAAAGGAGAAACCATCATAGTGGCTTAAGAGGAAAGGTGTCCTGTGTTGAAGACCTGAACCGCATGCTCAGGATGATGGCAACTGGCAGATTGCCCTTAAAATCAACAGAATAAGGGAGAGAAATGGCTTCTGGGGGCACTCAGCTGAGACTCTCACAGGTTCTTCAAAAAATAAACACCAGAACAAGCAAAGTTCTGTAAAGGTTAATATACTGGGGGTTTTGGTTTTCTGGAGGTTTGCCTTTTTTTCTCCCCGTAAAAGGGAACAACAAAACATTTAATACCCTGCAAAGGAGAATTGAGGTTAAATGTTCCTTGTCATTTTTAATAGAGGCAACTGTTCGATATATTCCAGAGCTGGGACTTGGGGGGATCAGGTGAAAAGATGATCTGAACATTTGAAAGTAGCTTGCTTTCCCCAAATGACATCAGTAAAACATTTTTTACAGTTTAAGAGGTTGCCTTCAAATACCATCCCAAATTGTATTCCCCAAATTCAAGCTGTGAAGGAGATAGATGTGGAAATTAGATGGAGAAAGGAGAACTGGATAATCACTGCCAGAAAAGGTGGGGGGGGAACCAAAAACATGATGAATGCAAAGAATTCCTAAAATCTACTGAAAAAAATTCAGAGTATATAATGCTGACGGGACTGGTGACTGTGGGTGCCCAGCTTGTGGCCTCTCTACGGGACCTGGTTGAGATGGTAGATGTTCAGCTTGTTGGTTGTTTTTTTAAAATCCCCACCTGCGGCGTGCAAAGCAAAATCCCGATTACCGCCCTGCTTCTTTCAAACTGGTGGCTTGGAGTGTTTATTCCAGAAGAGAGCAGTATTAGTGACAAATTTCTGAAAGCAAAAGATGAAAAAGCTGAAACTGGTGAATATCACCCCAAGTCCTGAGCTCTGCCTGCTTAAGCAAAGTCCTGAAAATGTATGTGTTCAAACAAAGAGTAATGTCTACATTTAGCTCTAATTCTTGCAAAGGGACGAATCACCTTGTGAAAAGTGGAGCCTCACCCTCCACCCCCTCTTTCCAACTGGATATCAGACTTGAAGGCAACCTTTCCAGTGGACCAGAGCTGCTCTTTAAACTTGTGGACCACCTAGTGACCTTGAGTGTGTCTGGAGCTCTTTCAATCCACTGCAAGAATAACTTGACCAGGACAATACTCAAGAATAGCTAGATCCATGACATGAGTTTCAGTCTGACCCTTGACTGGACCGATCACTAACCGTGTGGACTACATAATTCCACCTTTTGAAAGATCTGTACGCACTGAATCTCAGGACACCCTGTTGTTTGTTATTAGTTGAAGAGCTCTGAATATTTGTAATAATATGTGCTGTGTTGCTTTGCATTGTATTTTTTTTTCCTTCTAAAATAAAATAAATTATTTATTAAAAGTTATATGGGATGTAGAGCGTTTAAGAGTTCACCTGCTCTAGAGGCTTATTCCTAACCTGAAATCTCAATCCTGGGATTGCGGTACCATGTCTGCTTCTGAACAAACCAGTTCTCATCTTGTAATCAAGTAGGATGGGAATCATGAGTAAGAGCAGATGAACTCTTAAAAAAAATTTTTTTTTAAATCCTCATTTCATGCAGAAGTCCCTAGCAAGTGGATTCCTCTCTCTTTAGCGCCTTCTCAAGGTCTTTGAGGTGGTTCTTCTTTCCCCTCATTCCAACTGACAACTACCTAACTCCGTGAGCAGTCCCGGTCTGCACGGGCAATTGTAGAGTTGCACCACGTGAAGAAGAGTGGTGAAATCTGCCCTGGATGGGAGGAGATGAAAGACAAAAAAATCTGTGATAGGTTGATGGCTGCTGGCCACGGAGATCTTTCAGGACCCTGGCCCCTGTGCTTGCATGAGGGAGGGGGGGTGTGTTTTCTGTGGCAATGCGGTCCTAGTCCACACTGTGTTTGACAAACCCGTCCATGGTGTATAAGTAGTTCTGTTTGTAAATAAAATGTTTTAAATATATTTCTGACAATGTCAAGACCGTGAATTCAACCCTTGCAAATGGAAGATGTGGTGAAGGGGATGCTGTGTTGGCTCTGGCACGTGCAGCTGCGTACAGGCTGTTTGGGAGGAGCCGACACCAATTTTCCCCTTTATTTCTTTGGCTTGTTGGCCAGCTGAGGTTGTCCTCTTAGTGCTGCGTTAGGAAACGATTTGAATTCCTGCCTATTTCCATTTTCAGCCTGACATGAATGAAAAAGAAGTGAAAAGGGGAGACTCCTCTCTGAAACACGACTAAAAGTTGGCTTGTTGCTGGGGAGGGGTCAAGCATTTTGAAGACCCCCCATGGCAGACGGGTGCACGTATCTTCACGGGGAGCACCCCTGCTGCTGCCACAACAGTGCCCACAAAACCCGACGTCTGGGGTAGGGTCACTTGCCACAAAACCCGACATCTGGGGTAGCATCACTTGCATGGCACATTGCAACCTGGGTCCTGATCACCAGTGCCCTTTGTCCCCAGGTCCTGGCTGTGGCTTTTCTTGCAGGAAATTCCACGTTCCTATTGCAAAGCCCCAGCAGGTCCCACACACATCTCCTCCGCAGAGCTGAGCCCAGGGAAATTACCAGTTGGTTGCGGTAACGTGAGCCAAGCATCTCTGGGCTGGAGCTTGAGAACAGTTGTTTTGCAGCCCTTTGGCACAAAAGTTTGATTTTTTTTTTTTGTCCCAAAACCAGATGGTTTGTGCACCCAATTTTGTTTAAAATTGGCTTCTGCCTTTCGCCGCTTTAAGTCCTTCAGCGCCGGATGCAGGGGAGCGTGCAGAGTGCTGTAAGGCACGCCTGGAAAACAGGATCTCTGGGCTGGAGCTTGAGAACAGTTGTTTTGCAGCCCTTTGGCACAAAAGTTTGATTTTTTTTTTTTGTCCCAAAACCAGATGGTTTGTGCACCCAATTTTGTTTAAAATTGGCTTCTGCCTTTCGCCGCTTTAAGTCCTTCAGCGCCGGATGCAGGGGAGCGTGCAGAGTGCTGTAAGGCACGCCTGGAAAACAGGAATTAAAGCGCCTGCGTTCTCTCTAGGTGGTTTTTGGAAAGTTTTGTTGCCAGCTTAGCAAAGCACGAGGCGGCTTTTGAATAAAGCTGCTGCTTTTATACAGGGCGAGCATCTGGCTCAGGAGCTGGGGGCTGGATTAGGCTTCTGGTCCGTCTTTGCCGAGGTAGAAGACCCCACAGTAGTTATTTTCCCTTCTCTGAGGAGTCCTTTGGCCCGTGGCTCTGCATTCGAGAGGATTCAATATTCCAAAAAAATAGACTGGATCCCCTGGTGAGCAGCTAATGCATTGAAACCAGAAACTCCTTTTTCTTCTTTCTCTCTTGGAAATCAATGAGGGGCTCCTCAAGGATATTGAGTTATAGGGGATACTATTAAAAAAAAAAAAAAAAAAAGCTGTGTAGTGAGTAGTTTTTCTTACGAGACTGATGGAGCTGCGTGTGAAGCACCAAGGTGCACATGCCTTTCCCATAGTTTCAGGTTACTTTGTCTGCATTACATGCAAGAGTACCAGAAATTATAAATACATTAAATACTTGGTGCTGGATTTTCAAAAGAGCTCAGCTTGCACTTTAGATACCCAAAAAAAAAAAAAATGGAGAAAAAAGGAGCTGAATTCTCCAAAAGTGCCAGCAGAGCAGCACACAGCAGGGGGAAGATGGATGTTGGCTCTTTTAAAAATCAGGTCCTGTGCTGTTTTTTTTTTTTTTTTTAATCTTTGGTGTGAACTTCCAACTGTGCTGTGTACATAAAATAAATGGCATGTAACAATAGCATTACTGCATTTTCCTTCGTTATTAAGATGGCTTGCTGAACTGGTTTCACAATCCAGTGGAGGCAGAAATGAAAGCGTGCCCCCCGAGAAGGCAGACACCTTTTGAAGGTGCCGCAGCCTCTTCTGCCAGGCGAGGAGCGGTGCTGATGTGTCTCATGAACCTCCCTTGCTCCTTGCCCCTTACCTTGTGATTTCCCCGGTGCATCGGCGAGATGCTTTGCCAAAAAAGGGTATGATAATGAAATGAAGGAAGCGTTTAGCCTCGAGCTGAAAATCTGGTATTTTCCAAATCAAAAGGCTGAAAGCGTGACAGTCCTTGGAGAATGACAGATCTAGCTTTTGGCTTCAACCAGCTTATGTGTTAACATATCAACCTTCACTCGGGATTACTTTTTTATTCAAAGCAATATTTATCTATGTAATTTTTGGATGTGGCTGGTTGGTTGTATCCACACAGGAGCCTCTGTCCAGAGCGTGAAGCTGCTGAGAGAGGCACACCTCCATGGGTAGCTCCCACACGTTTATGCCAAAGTATTTTGGTGGCCATTGCACATGTTCACCTGCAGTCCAGCACGGAGCTGTGCTGTGAGCTGTGGGCCAGGTTTGCAATGTGTCACAGGTGATGGTTGGGCTCCCAGGTGTCACGGGAGATCCTGGCCCTTGAGAGCACCAGCCCTGCCAGTGTGGTTTCCAAAAAGCCCATAGGGCCCCACTTTGAAACATCCTTTATTCAGTCCAGCTTGGGGGTAGAAATTGAGGGGCTGATATTTCTCTGGTGGAAGGCTTCAGAAAAAAAATAACACTGCCTCTCTTAAGTCAAACTGCTCCTCCAACAATGTCTCTGTCTTTGTGGATGCACCTGTCTTGGTCTTTCTTGATTTTATTCCGACTATTTCTTTGCTAACACTTTTCCCCTTATAAAGAAATCCCTGCAGTTACACTCTGACGTAACCCACGGTCTCACCGGCTTTGGTTGTGTCATTGAATCTGATCACCCAAGGTCCTGCCATAGGACCTCCAGGGGACGACTTGTCCCACTCCTTTCTTTGGATGGGATAAATTGTCCTCTGGAGGAGGTGATTTTTTCACACCATAGATATGGACCTTGGTGATTACCTTCATCTAGACACCAAAATTCTAGAGAGCTGAACTTCTGAGAAGATAATCTTTCCTCCTCATCCTGCATTTCACATCAACTCTCTTTTTTCACAGCCCAGTAGACTTAACACTTTTGGCTTGTAGAATTCACCCCCAAAAAAATCAAACATGAGTTTGCATGGGTTTTGCAAAGGCCCGGAGGAGACCTGTGTTCCCAGTTCCTGTTGGCTTTAGGGGGTCTTCAGGGTGGTGGCCATGCTCTGGGCTTTTGCTGTTCAGCTCTCTGTAAGAGCTGGCTCTAAGGTTGCACTTTGTTGGGTCTTTGGCTTTGCCTCGTCCGAAGAGGAAGGAAGCGTGGATTGACCTCGCTGCTCACTGCTTGTACCCAAGAGCAAATCCCATCCTCTCCCAGGAGAAGAGGAAACTGCAACGTGGGCTTTCTTATGCAGCTTTTCTCTTGGAAATAGGACTTTCCACGCCTAGCAGAGTCCTTGGCCAAAGCCCATGCTGATGCTTTGCTGTCCAGCTTTTCCCCTTGGCCACTGAGGTGATCCTCAGCCATTTAAGTTGCTGTCAGCCATTAAAAAATAATAAAAAAATGTTGAAAATTAAACTTGCCTCATTTATAAAGGGCTTCAGGAGCCGCCAATGGCAAGAGGTAGGCGCTGGCAGCAGCACTGGCACGTGTTGTGCGCGGCAGCGTGTGCCTGGGCGGGCCCTGGAACCAACGTCTGCTTTCTCCCACAGGGATTTGAGGCGGCTGGGAGTGACACTTGTTGGTCACCAGAAGAAGATAATGAACAGCCTTCAGGAGATGAAGGTCCAGTTGGTGAATGGGATGGTGCCGTTGTAACTCGGTTTTAAAGTCACTTCCTCGAGTGGGTCGGTCCTGCACTTTGTACTCTAGCCCGGAGATTTATTTTGACTAAAAAAAAAAAAAAAGGAAAAAAGAAAAAAGGGAAATTCAGTGGTTTCTACGACTGAAGGACGGCCTCTGCCACAGCATTTCTAAAGCAGTGTTTGACTAAAGTTTTCCTTTTCTTCCTCTTTGTGTCGTCATTTTCATAAAGTAAATGTAAGATGCATGGAACATGGAAACGGATCTGCTGTACGTGAGGTTAACCCGTCTCTTGCGCTTCAGCGATGATGACGACGAGCCTTCCCACCACACGTTGTCTGTACATGGACACTATATACATATATACACAGCACCTTTCTATACTGAATTACGGCAGCACATGGTGATACTTCCAAGGACTGACTTGAGCAGAGGAGTTTTGTAGCCATTCGCGGGCTCCCAAAAGCTGCAGTTTACTGGAGTTTTCTTCGAGTCTTACTTGTCTACAGAAGTGTATTGAAGAGCAATATGGTTAGATTATTTCTCGATAGATATTTTGTTTTGTACATTTAAAGAAAAGGAAAAAAATGCTGTTACACAGCGTTAAGTTATAGAGACTAGTGTATAAACGTGTTGCTTGCTCCATGGCAAATACAATACAGGGTGTATATTTTTTTTTTTCCTCTCTCTGTGCTACCAAGTTCTTTCCCTTTGCTCTTCTGGGAGGATAACACATGACGACGATGTATATAATGTACAGTTTGCTACACATCAGGTACAAGATTGGGGCTCTTTCCTTGGTTGGCTCTTTTTTTTTTCTCCCCACCCTTTTGCTTACTTTTGTCTCCCTTTTGTGTTACCACTATGCTTTGTGTTTTGAGCAGCATAGAAAGCTTTTGGGAGTTTTGATTGCATATATAAGGTAGGAGCAGTCTGCTTCAATAAAAGACCTCGCAGGTGTGGAGGCATCTCCATGGCCAGCCAGCATGGAAATTTTGCATTATTTCCCCCAAGCTGGTGGTGGTATTGGGATTATTTTGGGACCTCTGCTGTCCCAGGTTGTCTCTCTGGGCATTTTTGGCTTGGGTATGGACCTGGCCACTTTGGGGCAGAGAGGAGGGAAAGGCAGAACAACCCCACATGGTCCCAGTGGTGGCACCCCATGGTTGAGAAGGTCCCATGCCTTGGGTCAGCGCTTGGTCGTAGCTGGGTTCAGTGTGTCCGTTACGGCTCATGGCAGCTGTTTCCAGAGGCACCTGAGGGCAGCCCTGTCCCCTGGCAATGCCACCAAGACACAGGTTGAGGTTCTCCTCTTCCTTTGGCTGTAGATGGGATTAATCAGCACAGTTTATGTGCTATTCATAGATTGGGGTTGTGGGGTTTTGTTTTTTTTTTTTTTTTTGTGAAGGCGTTGGTAAAGAGAAGGATTTTCAAATGTCTCAGCAGGTGGCAAGTGTTTGCTGCTCCTGTAAATATATCGCTTCCTTAGAAGGGTTGGGTAGCACCTTGTAGCGTCCTTCCTTGGCGATAACATCAACATATTGACTTGCCGCAGCTCCCTTCATCCCTGGCTCTACGGAGCCGAGCCCAAGGACCTCATCCAGCACCAAAAGTGTGTCGTTCGCATCTTGCAGAAGCACATGTTGAATGCCACCTTCGGCTGTTTCAAAGGTCTTTCTTTCATTTCCCCCAAGCCCTTGGCTGAGATTTGGTACAAAGAGCATTTTCTAAAGAAAAGGGAAAGATCCAGGAGGAGAGGATTGGGTTGATTGTTTTTTCTTAGCTCTCTTGCTTTCAGCAGGGCTTCTTCAGGCAATATTTGCCTGTTTGGAGATGGCCTCCTCCTCTGCGAGCTGCCACCGAGCTCTTTGGGAATTGGGAGAAATGGGAGAGAGACAAGCCACGGCGAGGTGTGATGAATCTTGACGGTGTGATTTCTCATTTTCTTGTTTCATTTTGGCAGCCACCAAACTACAAAAGTCACGGGGTGGGGGGGGTAGAAATCAAGACATAACCATTTCAGCGCGTAAAAGAGATTTGTCCTCTAATAAATAAGATTATTGGAGCTGTCAGCAGAACTGTCTCGGGATTATTTGTGCCTCCCTGCCTGCAGCACTTGGGAAAATAACCCGTAGGAAGACAGAAGCAACTCATTTCATCAGGAGGAATCGTTATGGTCGCCACCTGCGTCCATCGACCCCACCAAGAGATGCTGTGAGCAAACATTCTGCACTTTCTGCCCGTCATTGCCACTCGTTCCTTACCTGTTGGCTCCATGGAAGGAGATGGGTTTGGTCTGTTTTCATGGACTTGAACAGAAAAATCCCCTTTCACCATGTGTGGGGTTTTAAAGGCATGGCTGGGATGCATTCCAGATGCTGGGGTGACCTCCAAAATGATGGGCCAGTGGAAAACAAACTGTTCTGAAGCCAGACTGTGTTTGTAAATAGGGCACCTCTCCTCCGTTCCTCCAATAAATAAATAACCTTTTATATTTATTTCAAGAGCTGTTCTTGCTACAGATCTCTGTATTGACAAGCTTTGTCTCGGAGCTTAAAAATAAAAGAAGATGGTGTTTTAACGAGTAGGGTCCAAAAGTTACAACCTCTGTGTCTACAAGCAAATTCCAGAGCCAGCGGAGGTTTTCGGTTCCCATCCAAGAACTGCAAGTGCTCTGTATTTGGGGCATGGGCGTATATATTGGGGTGCAGCAGAAGGAGGTGACAATAATATTCTACAAGTTAGGCTCTTCCTAAGGGCTGTGGGTTGGTTTCCTGCCTACAGTTAAGTCTGAGCGCTTTCCTTTTCCAGCCCGCTAGGGCTGCAGCTGCTCCAGCGAATGCTTTTCTTTCCGGTCTATTTTGCTGCTAATTGAGAGGAAGATATTTCAAAGGGTCTGGGAGGTGAAAAGGCTCTTTCCAATATTATTTTTCATTTTGGGAGAAGGAAGTGTCCCCAAGCATGGCTTGTGTAGACTGACCCCCTTTCATTGTTTGGAAAAATCACCTGATCATAAAAAAGGAAAACTGATTTAAAAGACAAAAAAAAAAAATTATATATATCCATTTAAAATTTTATTTATTCCTTCTACATGTTAACGGCGAGAAGAACAAAAAATGAAGGTAAAAATTGTTCCTGTCTCTTCAGTGTTGAATATAACGTAGAAGTCCCAGTGGTCGAGAAATTGTGACTCTTTGGACTGCTGTGGTCTTGAAATTAGTCATTAAGGCATGTGTGAGATACATCAGTAGCAGTCTTAAGAGTAACGCTTAGTTTCTAATCCTTTATTAATCTGTTGGTTGCAGTTCCTTAGGGCAGGCGGGGCGGGAGCTGGTGCATCCAGCGCTACCGGAGCCGCA